GGGGGGGGGAGAGGAGGGGGAGGATCCTCACACCTCAGGTTAGAAAGGGGTCTCCTGATAATGCAATCATGAGCTCAGTGAGGGAGAAAGAGCGGGAGGTTTGCAATGCTGACTGAGCAGACGCATGCTTCCAGTGGGCTGCCGGTGACACAGGCCTCCCTGCTTGGAAGACTAAAAGCTCAAACTGGAGAGAGCACTGCCAAGAGTGCTGCAACTCTTGCTCCCTCTTCCACCTCATACAGCCTCTTCTCCACATTCATCTGACCAGGAAAAAGTAGGGTAAGGAGTTGGCTTCCTTCTCTGAAACTGACAAATCCAATTCATGTCGGTATTTCCTCTACTGGAGCATCCCTAATACCTTCCCCTTCCTTACTCACCCCAGACATTCGAGGCATTTAGTTATAACCTTTTTAGGACACGCACAAAAACTAAAGACAACATGATAAACTAGGCACAGCAGCACCTTAAAGCCCCCCCCAATGGCAATCCTGGGCTGAACAGAGACAGGCTCTCCAATCCAGGACGTGGCAGACCATGGAGAGGGAAGTCAAGAGTCAAGGACTTTTCACCAGAAGTGCCCCGCCCTAGGCTTCTGTTGCTTAAGCCATGGCCTGTGAGCTTGTGCACTCCTGGTGAACACAGCTGCTGTGGAATCATACAAGGAGAAAGGTAATCTCCAAAGGAGGCAAGACCCAAACTGTCCAGGGCTTCATAAGTCAAAGCCAACTTCATAAACATCCCATGAAAATGGGCTGCTAGCCAGTGCAGGCCACAGAAAACCAGTGAGAGATGCTTCCCCTGGGAAAGCCCACGTTCTGGATAAATTGCAATCTCCAGATGGTCTCAGATAAGGTACTGTCAACCAAAAATCATACGACTGAAATAAACCTCTCCTTGTGTTACTAACAGCACTCAGAGTTATCAGAAGGGAGAGAGTCTCTAGAAATCAGTTCACATCTGGACATTGTTTATGCATCTTGCTCAGTTGGTACGATGATAGTCAGTCCCACTCTGGAGTTCAGTGCTCCAGTATTTGGGTGGCACACGCTGCTGGAGAAGGGTTATTTGTTTAAAGACAACTTGTTCCATTGGACTTTTAAGATGTCAAACATTCCCACTTGTCTGAGGCTTAATAAAACCTTGTTCACCCACCCACTGGAGAGTTTGGGCTGAACATAACGTAACCGGCTCCTTTGAAGATGTAGCCCATGTACAGCTCACTGCAGTGACCCAACTCCGAGATGACAGCCCTAGATACCTGCTGCTAAGTCCCTTACCCAGACTCCAGGCAAAAGTGATGAAAGGTTCTCTTAACCGGCACCTGGATATCCAGCAGCAAAGGATCCAACAAGATGCCAGGTTGTGAACCCAGGTAACAAGTGCCAGGCTGACACCCACACTCGGGGGCTTCACACAAATGTCTCCATAAATCTCACCCAGTTTATCCATTTACACTCTATTCAACATGCTCAGCCACACCCAACATAATCCATTCTCCAAACTCCCTTCCCTCTTCTGTCATTTAAACACAGCTCCCTCTCCCTACAGTGTCTCCACGCTCAACAATTCCTTTGCCTTTGGAACCTTCTCTGGCTCTCTAAAATGTGCCACTATCCACCTTCTATCCCAGCATGACCACCACCCTCTCACCAACCCTTGGGAATGGGTTTTCCCCTCAACGTCCCTGACTGGTTTTGGGTCTAGGACCCAGATCCCTCAGCATAATTACCCTCTTTTTGCTAGTGAAGATGCTTAATTCAAGGCACATCCTTGACCCCAGCACAGCCCTACAGCCCCCAACAACTCCCTTAGCTAACTCCCCCTGATTCTCTTCAGACACCTCGAATGCCCCCTCTCTGCCTGCCCCAACCATATCAGCTTGTGGCTACAGCTCAGTTCCTGCATAGCATCTCACAGGCAGAAGCTTGTGCAACAAGAGCTTCCCCCAGACCAGCCACTCTGCCTTCCTCCCGCACTCCGGCCTCCCAACCGTCACCACCATCAGTAACCCTGTCACTGACCCCAAGTCCTCCCAATACATCTCCTGCAGCAGAAACACGACTTCTCCCCAGCCCCACCGCATCGTCCACGCATGCCCGGGCCTTAGCGGTGCCTTGCTGATTGCTGCTCCTGGATATGCTCTGGGGCTTGGCCAAACCCCAGCATTCATGTGATCAGGGCGTTAACGATGCCTACCCCTAACCATCCCCAACCATATCCTCTACCTACCACCCCCTCTACCCACTGCCGCCCATCCCTCCGTCCCACCCTGTCCCCCACCGGGTCCCCTCCCCACCACCCCCTCTACCTGCTGCCCCCCATCCCTCCTTCCCACCCTGCCCCCCACTGGGTCCCCTACCCAACACCCCCTCTATCCACTGCCCCCATCCCCTTTCCCACCCTGCACCCCCAGATCCCCTACCCAACACCCCTTCTACCCACTGCCCCCATCCCCCTTCCCACCCTGCACCCCCAGGTCCCCTACCCACCACCCCCTCTACTCACTGCCCCCCATCCCCCTACCCACCCTGCCCCCCACCAGATCCCCTACCCAACACCCCTTCTGGGGGGTGGGATAGCTCAGTGGTTTGAGCATTGGCCTGCTAAACCCAGGGTTGTGAGTTCAATCCTTGAGAGGGCCACCTAGGGATCTGGGGCAAAATCAGTACTTGGTCCTGCTAGTGAAGGCAGGGGGCTGGACTCGATGACCTTTCAAGGTCCCTTCCAGTTCTAGGAGATAGGATATCTCCATTAATTTAATTTTTAATTTCTACCCACTGCCCCCCACCGGGTCCCCCTATCCAACACCCCCACTGCCCCCCATCCCCCTTCCCACCCTGCCCCCCACCGGGTCCCTTAC